GGCGCACACTGCGATCGGATCCTTGCGGTTGAGGTCCAGGGGTGCACACTGCGATCCGGAGCTTGCCAGACAAGATCGGCGAAGCAGATTGGCGAAGCAGATTGGCGAAGAAGATTGGCGATGAAGATTGGCGATTAAGATTGGCGATGAAGATTGGCGAGGCGATGAAGATTGGCGAGGAAGGAAGCAAGGAGGAAGGAGGAAGGAAGGAGGAGGAGGAAGAACAACTGTGATAAAATCTAACAACCCTCACCTGGCAGGTGGGGAAAAAACTACCTCGTAAATGAAATTGCCTTGAAAACATACTTTTCCATCGAACAATCGCCGCAGCAATGCGGGTAGATGGGAGGGTCTGCACGAAATTGACTTGACTCCCGGCCATGGGGTATGCCGAATGAGGGTATGCTTCGGGATATGCTGTGCGCAGTATGAAGACTGAAACAGCAGCAATGTCGGAGGGTATTCTTCAGAAGTTTCCTTTGGGAAATATGTTGCCGAAGTTAAAATTTTATCTTGCATAGCCCGAAAAACGTTGAACGAATCCAAATCCCCATGATTCAAAGCAGCCCCAGGTACCAGGCAAAACACATTTGCGCAGCGGTTTTGTTCCCATGCATGTCTTGCCAGACTCTCGGTTTGGCCCTTCAAAGTTCAGACACGTCAGAAATTTTTCAACCATCTCTCACTCAGCCATGTATGGCTGGCTGGAACATTAATATAACTGCTTACAATATACTGATTTGAGGAACCCAACTACCTCCAAACAAGGTGATGTTGTCTAGATGTGCTTTCCCTCCACCACTTTCGGCCCAATATTGTGTCCGTTCTTCCAAAAAATCGTTTTAATGCGCTGTTCTACTAGCTGCAACAAGATTTTAGTCTACCTGTGTGAGCAGTGTGCAATGCATTTTGCCGTGTGAAAATTGGCAAACATGGTGCAGTTGATGCCAGACTAGCACAGCTAGCACACGTGTGGCCAATTGTGTATGAGTGTATGAGTGTATATACACGTTTTTGTTATTGTTGTGTTACGGTGTTCGGCCCTGGTGCGAATATCGACTTCTGTGCACAAACAGAGATACTGAGATACCGCAACATAAGATGAAGAGGCATGAAAGAACGTATGAAGGGTTGTCAATGTGATGGGCAGGGCTGTGGTGTCATGTTTCTTCCTGATCAGTTTGCGGTGGATGAAGCATCCTTCTGGCAAGCGGGCATGCGAAGAGTCAGTGCACGAATGTGCTATCTTTTTCCGCGCTTGCCAGGTGAGGGTTGTTTGATTTTATCAAAGTTCTTCTCCTGGACTGCCCGGTCCTCACCACCTCACCAGCAAGCGCGAGGCCGCAGTGGGCACTACCGGACCTCAACCGCATGTGCCAGATCGCAGTGGGCACTACCGGACCTCAACCGCATGTGCCAGATCGCAGTGGGCACTACCAGACCTCAACTGCAAGTGCCAGATCGCAGTGGGCACTACCGGACCTCAACACACAACACACAACCGCACAACATAACAACAAACACACAATACACAACCACAACCACAACCTCAACACACACAACACACAACCACAACACACAACCGCAAACACCGAAACCACAAGCACGACCACAAACACGCAACCACAACACACAATCACAGCACACAGCTCAGCCTGTCTACGAAACAACACAAGTTTCATCTCGTAAAAGTCGATGTCTTCCACCAGCACTGGTTTCTCCTTCGAGAAAGGCATAGTCCTGCACGATAAAGCGCAATCCTTCATACGCGTACACATAATTGTCCAGGAAGAAGCTGCGACTGGTCTCAACAGCCCAAGTGCGCAAAGCTCTCATTGGTTCCTCTGCTTCACAAAGGTCTTGCCAGACGAGCTCTGGCTTGTCCACCACGATCTCTTTCGTTTTGGTACCCTTCTCCCAACGGCCGGAAACAACGGCGTAGTTGTTCATCGACTTTACATCAGCCATGCTGAAATGAGAGGGAGCTGGGCAGGTTTCTGAAACGGGCGTCTGCAATTAGGCCAAAGAATGCGCACATGCAGCCTGGTTCTGATACAGACTACCACAAGAAAAGCAAAGGAAACAGCAGGGTGGATGAACTTGCTGACAGGGCAGGGTTTCGCGCATTGTCTTTGGTTTCCTGATCAATATGCTTTCTATAAATTATACAAGCATAGACCCCAAACGGCTTCAAAACGATTCGTTTAGACCAATATTAGTCAAAAATCAATTTCTTGGTGCGCCCTACTTTCACCCCGAGAGCAAACTGCTTCATCAATGAATTTTTGTCGGCATTGACATCGCTATTTGTTCGGCCACGCTCCTCTCCAGTAAGCCGGGCCACAGAGACCAGCTACAGAGTTCAGGACCGCGGCCAAGACAAGCACAAGAGGAGGACTAGACCCGGAGACAGAGCCGGGCCACAGAGCCCAGCCACAGAGTTCAGGGGCACGGCCAAGACAAGGACAAGAGGAGGACAAGAAGAGGACAAGGCCCAGCCACAGAGCCCAGCACAGAGGACAAGAGGAGGACAAGAGCCCAGTAAACCGTCCATAGCACACGAGCGTGCGCTCGCCCTGCTTTCTTTCTTTCTTTTCTTTTCTTTTCTTTTCGGTTCTTTTCTTTTCTGTCTTTCTTTCTTTCTTTCTTTTCTTTCTTTCTTTCTTGATTTCTTTCTTTCTTTCTTTTCTTTTCTTTTCTTTTCTTTTCTTTTCTTTTCTTTTCTTT